AACAACAGTCGCCGCGCCTGCAGCTAAGGCCCAAGCTAGAGCGTGTCCACATACGCAAGAAGCGCCAGCCGCTGCACATCGTCAACCATCTGGCGAGAGGCGCCGGGCCAAGATTAGCTACTCCAGACAGCTACACGCCCCTGCATCAGAATCCGATTTCAATTGCTAAGATGACGCAGGGCGAGCGCATGAAGCGCTTTTCACTAGAAAGCTGCTCGGACTCGGGCGTTTCGTCCTCGAACGATGCCAAGGAGCAGCAGACAAAGCAAACGAATCTGCAGCGGGACGAGAAGTGTGTCAGTTGTGTGCAGGTACTGGAGACCCAGCTGCCCGAGAAACACAAGCAGTACGAGCGAGCAGCTGGGATCACGCCGGCTAAGGTCCATGCCGATCCCAACGATGTGCAGAACTTTGCTAAAAAGAACCTGACCAAGGCAACCACAAATGAGATCCTGACGGCCGCCGCCGTTCAAGTGAAGCAGTGCAACATCGAAAAGGAGCGCAAATTGAATAGCCTGAAGCATCAGAAGCCGGAGCCCAAGACATCGACCACAACAATTAGCATTGACGACAGCTGGGTGCAGGAGTCTTGCATTGATCCCTCTGACGATTATATGGAGACAGACTCCCTGATGCTGCCCCCGGTGCCTCGGCCCATCAGTAAGCACAACAATAACAGCGTCAAGATCTTTGTATGCAGCACGGCCGACGATGGCCCAGCTTGTGCCCTGGCGACGTCGTCGAACGCCTCGACATCCTCGTCCGGCTGCGGAGGCTCCAGTCGCGACACTAGCTCGTTGTGCGAGTCGGAGCAGGATTGCTGTTCGTGCACTGGCCAGCAGAATGCGCCAAGTGCCAGCTGTCTGTCCAACGACTGTTGCAATGCCATCGGCGGCGTCTTTTGGAACAACGCATGCTACGATATTGAGGCGGATGCCGGCGCTGGCTGCTGCTGCAGCATATCCAGCTGTGACGATGATGACTGCTCCTACTACGAGGGCGGCTTCGGCGCCAGATTGGAACACGTTCCGGGCCGACGCGGCGAGTTCCTTGTACGTAACAATAAGCTGCTGCGCAAGGTAGGAGACAAAAATGCTGTGCTTCCCGCGCCATTCCAGACCCAATAATTATCAGCCTTTAATTAGGCGGAAGCTTTGAAAAGTGGCTCGAGCCGCAGCTCTTGGTTTCCGCTCCCCACGGCCCCGTCAGCTCTTGGTTCGTCTACACACCTGTACATACTTATATTTCCCATGTTCAGCATGCGAACAGCTTCCACAGCTTGCCTGGATTTAAGTTCCTCATTGCACAGCTGAACGATTGCACCCGTATCTCAATTGAATTGGGGCCCCAGTTTTGAGAACCTTCCTTTACCTTTGGCCAACTTGTTATCACTCTTCAATTTCGCAAAGACTCACCTATCCATTAGCCCGACACTTAGCACTTAGTGTGAGCTGCAATTATTAGTAAAACTCCTTAAACAGAGAAATCTGATCCCGACGATTTAACATTTTATCATAGTATCAACCAGGGAACGAAAATAAATAATAATGAAGTAATTGCATGAAACTTCAATTTAAAATCTCGATATAAAGCAATCTTGCTACAGAAAGATGGTTTTCCTATTTCCGCATGTAATTAACTCTTTCTTGCAACAACTTTAATAATAAAATTGTATTCCTATGTTTTACTTTTATTTAAAATTGTAAAAATGACTTTTTCGATTTTTACAATAAAAACTGTATAATAAACAATATTTTTGACTTTGAAAAGTCACGCAATTTAGTAAGAAAGTTAATATATATAGCAAAGAGTTCGTCATGACTGACCGACCGACTGACTGACTGACTGCTGATTCACGCAAAGACCAAGCCTTAAGACGGCGGAAATTGTTTATTCCAACTTTTGTTCCCAATTCGATGGGTTTCAAACTCAGTTTCAAATGTCTATGTAAATTTAACCTGGGACAGTGCTGATAAAATTGAATTTTTCACCGACTCTGAATGGGTGAATAATATTTACAAAATATTTGCCACAGGCTAGAATACCCTCCAGTTTCTTACATTGACTTATGTAAATGTATACAAAGTTATACGCACATTTATTAATGCCTTTGTATTATATATTTATGTATTGGACCATTCACAAAATTATGCCAACTACTTTACTTGGCTATTTATTTTGGCGTCTAATAGATTTTGTTTACAATTTTGTTATGGTTTACATTAATATTATTTTACCTGTACATACGATCGTAAATACCTTCTTTTAAAAGTGCAGCGTGAGTTACTAAAAAAGTAACACTATTCAACCCAAATTCTATTTTTGTAACCACGTTTGATGATACCAATATTTTTTATAAATATGGGGCCTCTACATGGCTTGTTCAAAAGTTTTTGTAGGCAATGATTTTTTTTTAATTTGTCAAAATTTTAAAATATTTGTAAAGTTCTAATTAAGTTTCCATTCAATAATATTGATTTATGATTACAGTAAATTTTCCATTCTGAACACAATCGTTTAAAAAGACGACACATTTAATCAATTATATTATACTCATATCTGCATCAAATTAAATAATTTATTGAGTGTGAGAAATGTTCGAATTAACAAAGTGTAAATATACAAAAATATCGCTCGCTACAATTTCAAAAAATACGACCCAAGTTTTAGTAAAGATGTTTAAATGAGATAAACTATAGAAGCTTGGCCGAGTTTGTCAGCCTGGAATATATATCTGAGATCCGAATAAATTAATGAGAGCAAATTGGGCTTTTTGACAATATTTTGATATCTTCTGCCGGGATAGGATTAATCATAGATCTATGGAATGTGGGTTTCGAAACAAATAATAATATCAATATGCATGACTTTGACATGGTTGATAGATCATGTCCGGGTTGATTAGTGTGCCAGTCGAACATAAAATCCACGGCCTGCAGCAGGAAATGAGCTTTGGATGCGCCCTCGCGCTTGCACGACATGCTTCAATGACACGAAACACCAAAAACTCAGATCAGGCCAGGAATTGCATAGCATATGCCCATTATTAATACATCTATTCAAGGCGTATCTGGCTCGTACTGGAAGATGTGTGCTCGTGAATGTATTATCTAACCGAGAGTCGCACATCCGAAGAGACCCAAAGGTGAAGGTGGCGTGTAGTGTAGTATTTAAGCGTGTGTCAGGAAGCTTCGTTTCATTAATGAATACAACAGCAAAAAATGTATAGCAACAACAAAAGCAAACACCACTTCAGCGTTTGATTTGGCTCGTTGTGGTTTCCATTTCGCGGTTTCATAACAAATTACGAAGACGCCATACATTTTTACATACCTGCATGTTTTTATCACTGGCGGAGCGCGAACGGGGGCTTCATTAACACCCGACTATTTGCGATTATGTGGCATAAGCATGAGCCGTTGTCTGTTGGCTAGTTAAAATTAAATAATTGCCGACCACTAAAACCTAATATAAGCGGACATTAAACGACAATTTACGCTGGCTATGACTCTTTCTTCGCCCCCTTTGACGTACATGGCTTATGGATAAATACGTAAGTCTTCTACGGGTATCGAACGCGGACTCTCACTCTCGCACCACCAAAAAACAAATACAAACAAAAAAAATCATAGCGTGGCTTAGTGCGTGCCGCATTTACCGCTAACACCTTTCACTTTCTCTGTTGTTTTGGACACATTCGAAGCCGAATGGATATGGTCATGTCCACTGCCGGGTGGAAAGAGCTCAAGAATCTTAGCTGGGAGACTGTGCTACTCATTCTATCGCCAAGTGGTCATCAAAATTGACTACATATTTCAAAAATATCAAATTCCCAACTTTATTACCTAACGGTCTATGCACACTTAGTCTGGATTTCTCTGTGTAAGTGTGTGTGTGCTTATTATTGGCCTCGATTTGAGCCGAGTAAGCACACAAATTGGTGTCAGCTAGCCGGGCCGGTTGAATGCCCAGCAGCTAATCCCAATGCCCAACTTCTCGACCTTCAGTTGCTTTCCAAACTCACTCGAATTGTCAGCCCCCTTCATTTGTCACGGAAAGTTGTTTTGTGTTTTATTACGGGAACATTGTTAATTAATTATGTTGGCTGCAATATCTTTTCTCACTCTTACTTTTATACGCACTAATTATTGCAACCTGTCACCAATATTGTTGTACCTGTTAAGATCACTTTTGAGATCACTTTTGAGCCCAGTCGGGTCCTCTATTTCACTTGATTCAATAATGTGGAAAGTAAACGAAATCGAAATGAAAATGGAAGAGCTAACTGAAAAGTGAATAGCATGTAGACCTTGTTAAAAACAATGAGTGAGCCAAAGAACTAAGCCAATTCTGGCCAACCAGTCGAGGCTGCAATTAAAAGCAGAAACAGACTGTGAGCAGCTAACTTGGCCAATCGGGCTGCAGATTTAGAAAGCGCCAAGGCTAGGCAGCAATTATCTAATAGACACTCACGACGAAGCTGAAGTAATTAAAGCCTCCCACTGCTTAGAACCTACCTACCTACGACTAACTAGGTAATTAGACTAGAGTTGCCCATTAAAGGCGACTAGCTCTTGTTTAGGCACACATGCAGAAACCACAAAAGCGTGCCGGCATGAAAGTCGGACCGGCAAGCGGTCAAACTGAGCCACAAAGCGAAAGTGGTAACAGAAACCCAACCAGGTTGAGCACAAAAAAAAGAACCGTTTTCCACATTTAAATAAACGCTCGCTAGTTAGAAAAGTCTCAGCTCTTGCTGAGCTGTCGAAACCTGAAGGTTTTTGTCAAAAATCGCTGCTAGACAAAGATCTATGTCAACCGTTGTTTCTTCTATTAGCAGCTCTCTGTTTTTTCATTTTTTTCTGCTGTTGTTGAGTGTTGTTCCCTTTGGAAGTGGGCTTAGGGTTATGTACATATGCCTATAAGTCGTCTGTTTCTAAACATAACCTTAATCGGCGCTACAATGGATTTATAAATATTTTGTATATCTTTTCTTGCAGACTGGCATACATGAGTTACGACCCAGATCTATGGACGGTGTCATTGACTCGGGCGTTTCGTTAAATGGCGACACTGGCTCGAGTCCAGACAATGGCGAGCTCATCCAGAATCAACAGGTAAGTCCAAAAATCGAATTTAACGCTGAAAATCGATTAATATCGATAAATTATCGAAAGTGCCAAATTAGTGCGTGACTCTAGCTCTTATATTCAAACAGACAAATCAAATATAAATATAATCTAAGCAGTACACCTCAGTTTGCCTTTTGCAAACAATTGCACAAATAATTTCGCATAAAGTATATATATTCTTGATTAGTATCATCAACAGCCTAGGCAATATAACCTTGTCGTTCAGTCTACTTCGATACAGACAAACATTTCAGTTGCATGAAACTTTGCAGTAAATATTTTGGTTGACACGGTCGAGAAATAAATTTATATATGAAAAAACGTTCAGTTTTTTGGGCTACAAAATTCTTCTCACATATCTAAAAATAATAAGCAAAGGTATCTAATCTTCGGTCGTTCTTTCATTTCTTCATATATTCATTTATAAGTTTTCGATATAAAGTAATTTTTATTGGTATAATAATATAATAATAATGAAATTATTTTAAGCTATATTTTATGTTTTAAAGCTTGGTCCTATAAACCAAAACAAAATGTTGCCTGGGGGGTACAGGGCATTTTGTAGTCGAGCACACTCAACTACAGGGTTCTTTTTTGTTTTTAGATTAGGTAGAATCTTATAACTATAACTATTCACGAAACCATAATGACAGCCAAATAGACAGCCTAATTTAACTGATAATATGAATTTTCCATTTTCAGGACGCTGAGGCGAGAAAACTCAAGCGTGGTCATGTGCTGTCGGAGCTGCTGGAGACGGAGCGGATCTATGTAAACGAAATGAGTTCAATTCTAAAGGTAAATATGAAATGCATTTGCAAAAGCTAAGCCAGAACTTAGAGAGATATAGAGATAGCGCTGGGTAAATTGGGTAAAATATATGTTGAAGAGCATGAGCCAACGGTAAAAGACTGGCCAGAATCATGAGGCGTGAAATCCAAGTCTTTGGAGCTGCCCAGTGGTCAGCGAACTGAAACCAATAGAGCATCTGTGGAGTTGGAGCTGGCGGTTCTTCTTGGTGCTCGAGCAGCGCTTGAATGCCCCCGCTTGTAATTAGTGCATTAAACCCATTAGGCTTTGAGTGGCAGCGCATCGAACTAAGAAGATTCCATAAATAATTTGTTACCAATTCTAAGCTGGTGGCCTACAGCCCCAGCCAGCTACTGGCAATCATTTAGCGATCGGCTCTTGCGCGTGGTGGTACAGCAACTCCAGATCCGGTGGCTCGACTCGAATCAGCAACAGCAACAGATATGCGCTACGGGGGCTACGATCTGCGAAAAGCTTCAAAACCGAAGACACCGGTTAGCCAAAGCTCATTCCGGCTGCGACGGGTACAGAATACGGCATGTAATATTGTCGGGCGATTCAATCTTAGACTCGGTGATTCGCTGATCAAGCGATTTAGTAGTCCATTGGCCGATGCAAATGAGCCTCGTGAGTCGCCGCTTTCGTTCCAAGGCTCGCTGTTCGACTCACAGGCATCCTGTGGCGGCCTAAGCTATCGCCCGGCAGATTTCCGTCCACGGTTTGAGTCCCTTAGCGCGGATCCTGGCGGCAACTACATATTTGGGACGAACTTGTGCAACTTTGCCACTCACAATATACTTAATGGCAAGTCAACTATCAAGATCATCAACACCCTGCAAGAGTGCGAAGAACGCGAAGCCTCCAACAGTGATCGAGTGGAGTTCGATGGTGGGCAGGAGGTGGTGCAGGAGACGGCAAACTACCCGATCAAAGTCTACGATAGTCTTCAGCGCTTGAAGGATCAGCGACGCACCATATTCAAGGAACTCATCGAGTTGTCCAGCTGTGACGAGTCACTGGAATATCGATTGGTCAAGGACTATCTGGAGTCGAATAGCTACTCCGAAATAGAGAACGACACAGAGTTTAAGGACTATCTGCAGCGCAAAAACTATATGGATATTCTGGCCTATTTGGAGGACACTGAGCCCAAAAGCCTGATGTCCGTTTCGTCCTCGTTGGCGAGAGCCCAAAGCTCTTTGGGGTCGCTGAACAACACCAAGGTGCTGTCGACGCCAAAGTCACTGAAAGGTCCCAAGCTGGTGCCCGCCCTGGACACCCAAATGTGCAGCTCTTGTCGATCTAGCTGGCAAAACAGCACCAATGTGTTGCCACTTCCTGGTGGAAATAATGATACTTTACGACAAACAGAAACGACCGTAGCGTTATCTAAGTCGGAAACAGATTGGAACAGCTCATATCATGAGATCCTCAACTTCTGTCGGCAATTTTTCGAGGAAAGCTTTAATGGTGCCGCCGACGCAAAAGGACTTCCTGAGTTCAGAGATACAAAGTTCAAGGTGGCCAAGTATAAGCGAATTCTAAAGGACTTTGTTATGGCACAGGGATACCCTAGCGTCGAACAGTATGTGGATCAGAAATTTGGCCAGTTCATAAACAGTAAAATAAATGCTTTTTACGATCACGAGCAGTCGCATGTAACTTTCAGCTTGACTTGATTCGTATAAGCTTTCCGCCCTAATTTCTATTCTATTCTTTTCATTTGCAGGGCTACTTCGACCAAATGCAGTCGGACGAGCTGATGCACCTTGTGCCTGCCAGTCTGCAGGGCAAGGAAGAAATACTTTTCGGCAACCTGCACGAGCTCTTCACTTTTCACAACGAGATTTTTCTCAAGGATCTGGAGAACTGTATTTCAACCACAGAGCTGGTGGCGCTCTGTTTCGTGCAAAGGGTAAGTGGTGTCGATCGATATAACCTACCCAATCAGATATACATATATATATTCCCATGCACTTTCAGCGGGACACTTTCTATCGGCTGTACTCGTTTTATTGCCAGAATATACCGCGCTCCGACCGATTACGTGAGACGCTTGTAGACACGCACCTGTTCTTGCAGGAGTGTCAGAAGAGATTGGGTCATAAGCTTCCTCTAGCCGCGTATCTGCTGAAGCCCGTACAACGGATCACCAAGTACCAGTTGCTTCTGAAGGACCTGCTGCGCTTCAGCGACAGCGGCAGCTGCACCAAGGAGCTGCAAAAGGCGCTTGACTGTATGCTGATCGTGCTCAAATGCGTAAATGATTCCATGCATCAAGTGGCTATCACAGGATTTCCGGTAAGCAAGCCTGATCAGATCGTTTCGTATTGGATACATTTGTGCTTTTGTTTTCAGACCGATCTGGCGCAGCAAGGCGATTTGCTGATGCAGGACTCGTTCCAGGTGTGGACCGAGTCGAAGAAGGATATACGCCTGCGCATCAAGCCACAGCAACGTCACATTTTTCTCTACCAGAAATCCCTGCTCTTCTGCAAGCAAACCTCTAAAGCGGGTCACAACAAAAGTACCTACCAGTTTAAGCACCACGTTAAGGTGAGTAGCATGTCCTTTTAAGACCCCTTTATACCTATCGTTTGGTTGTCTTTCCACAGATGTCGCACATCGGTCTTACGGAGTCCGTGCGGGGCGACGCCAAACGCTTCGAGGTGTGGCTACAGGGACGTCAAGAGGTGCACACACTGCAAGCTCCGTCGGTAGATGTCAAGAACAAATGGGTGGCGGAGATCAAACGGGTGTTGCTCAATCAGCTCGAGGAACTGAAGGGCGAGAAAATCAAGCAGTATGGCCTCAACCATCGGGGTCTCAAGCAAACAACATCATGGGACACGCCCAACATTATACTGGGCACGCCTAGTCGCAACATTAGCTGCGACGCGTCCTCAGAGTCCTCCAACCGCAACTCGAACTGCAGCAGCGAGGAGAACGCGGCATCTGCCTGCGCTAACTCCAGCAGCGGTATCGGTGACAGGGATCACCCGGAAGGATGCGGCTGGAGCTCGGACTACTCAAATAGCGAAGACGAGATGTCCGTGAATGAGGATAATAGCACGCCGGTAATTAAACCCTTTAAGCTTTAGACAAACAGGTGTTCGGCAAATTCATGGGTTTTTTATCGACAAATAAAAACTTTGGCTTATGCGAACTTTTCACAAACAGCGGAATTAGATGCTGGTGTGTTTTTGAAAGGACTTGTGTATTTATTACCCCATTAGCTTTTTTCCAAGTCTGATGTTAACTCTCGAGTTCACGTTGAAGTCTCAACTAAGTCTGTCTGCCTTTTGATGACTCTATTTCACGTACAAATTTTTAACGAAATATAAACATAGTTTTTCCTTTCTAAAAGTGAGACACAAAATTTCGATTAGGCGTACAACATTTATTGTAAAATATTTTTCATACTGTGTACATTTCAGTACACTGAATATAATTGAATTTTTTCATCGGTTTATTTTTAATTAAATGCCTTAATTTAATTGACATTATATAGCTTTATCAAATTGCAAGATTATTTTAGTTTTATCGGATATTTTTGGGCTTATCTTTTACTTTCATGAACCTAAAACAATATTGTAATAAATCCCATTCATACATGTGTCTATGCGTTCTATGTACATGCATTCTTTTATGTACATCTTAAACATCATAATGATGCAAACCGACAGCGCTTCCTGAATGTCCTGGCGCAGTGGGCGTCATACAATACCGATGGCGCCTCCTCCTCAATGTCCTTTGCGCGCAGCAGCAAATCCAACTCCAAATTCTATGTTTCCGTTGACCACTGAGGTGCGGATCACACATAATAAGTACTTTCTGTAGCTGTAACAATGCTAGGTACGGTCCTTCCTAGTCTGCACGCTCTTTTCCTTGTGTTCCAATGATGCTTGTAATCATCGAGCTATAAGAAATAACATTTGCAGTATTGTGACTAAACCAAAGGAACCTGCTGCAATATTCTATTAGCTGCATTATTAACTAAAATTGTCATTTACAAAGTCAGCACGCATGCTAAGTACTCATTAACCTGCTCCAACCCACTTCAATCAAGGTATAGCCGGGTGTAGCTCTGCGAGTTAGATAAAGGTTTACCATTTAATCAGTAGATAGGTTGGCTAAGTGGCCCAGGTCATTCCGACAACTAGGCAAGGACAATCGGGTTCTTGTTCCAGGCAGCTTTATGGATTCAGTTTTATCTAAGGAAAGGCTTAAGAAGAGTTAGACAACAATATTATATACCACACATATAATAATAATAGAAAAGGCTATCCAACTACGATCTTTGACTCTCTGTTCCATAGTTTGTATATGCATATATCTATATTTATAGAATTCGAAAAATGGGAGGTGTAGAGATGTATATCATCTCTAAACGTATTATATAAAAGCAAGTACGTTCGAAAATCTTTAGAAATCTTCGTTTTGCAGTGTTCGAGATCAACGTCTTCATAAAGACGGACATGGCTAGATTTTCTAATTTCTAAGCTCATAACCTTCACCAGTCTCATAGTAATACAAAAAAAAAGCTTTTATAGAGATTACGAATTTAGTTTTGATATTCAAGTAAATTATTTTTGATATTTAGTTTGATATTCAAGTAAATTATTATTATGTTATTTTAGTTAAGTATATAAACCTGTAATTGATTTGACTTCAACATTAAATTTGTTTGTCTAGGTAAATTGTTTATATTTAAATTGTTTATAGTTAAAAAACCTTTGAGCAATGCTTGCAACCGCTTGAAGCCTAACTTTGTAAATTACCAACACACAGCTGTCTTACGAAAACATAAAATGTAAAATTAGAATATGCCTGCTTTATCTATTAACTATGTACTAAACGCTAACACTAACCGACACACAATAATCTATTGTATAAATTTTGATTCAGGGCAGTAAATTCATTGCCCTGGCTGATTATACTGCAATGGGACACTCGGAAGTTTCGATGCGAGAAGGCGAAGCTATCGAGCTATTGAAAGTGGGCTGTGCCGGCTGGTGGTACGTCCGCGTCTTAGGTAATTCTTTTACTCAAACACAAGTCCACTGCATGCTCTGCTAGTCATACATATATGTATACAACTATAATCGACAAAAAAAAACTATAAGCTTTAACAATATGTTTACTTATTGATAGATACCAATGCAGAAGGCTGGACCCCGGGAGCATATCTGGAATCGATCAATCGAAAATCGTCACGATCATCGAGCTGCAATCAGGAGCGAATAAATCTAAAATAAACCACTTTCCTTCTAAAAAAAAGAAACACGTCAATTTTACTCGAGCTGATTGACGCGCAGTTTTCAAAACTTAATCTATCGCCCTCAATAGATAATAGTATTTGAACATGTTCTTCAAATCCTGCTATTTTCGTTTTTACTCATCTGAATCTGACAGAAATACCAAATAATCTACACTCAATATTATTATCGCTTCTAAATACCCTCGGTTTGGTTAAAGTGTACATTGTGGATAAATATAATATGGAAAATATAGTATATAGTATTTCTTGTTGATAATTAACATTAAAACATGCAAATATGTATTACTCTTAAGAATCTATTGCATATGGTATGTAATTGCTAGTTTCTAGTCCATAGTATACTTATTCTGGCTTTATTCTACGTATATGTATATATATAACGTATGCATTGAAGTACTTGCGCTCTATAGTATTTGAGGACTGTTACAATGATTGTTAAGGACAACTTGTCGAATATTTCTTGAAAATGTATTAATATTTAAATATGACATTCAATTATATTATATTTATATAAATGATTATTATAACAAACATAGTTATGTATAATATATACATAAATAAAATAATTAAATACCCGAAAATCAGTAGAACTTATATTTATGTTATAAAGTAATGTATATCAACGGACTTTAAGTAAAAAGAATCCAAATATCATACGACTGTATAGAGCAAAAATTCAATTATAAACTTAGTCCTACTTATTGCCAGGCCTTCCCCCTAATATGGGACAGGTACAAGGAAGGCTGGATGATGCCTTGGATCAAACCGTAACAGAAACCATATGCTTTGGCTGACTGGATAAATGTCGATTCCCGTGTGCAGTACCTTTGAGTGGAAATTGAATGTCCGAATTTCTATGTATTGAATTGAGTTATAGGGCTCTAAATCCAACATTAAGAAACCTTTTCATTTCGATGTTTTTATTAAGTCAACCTCCAAGGTTTGTCAGAAAACTTTTGTATGAAACTATTTTCTTTTTCATCCGATCAGCTCCAAATTATATTTTGTGTGTGTGTGTGGGCGTGTTTGTGTTAGTGTATGCAAGCATATTTGTATATATATATGCATGCTTTCAAATACCAAACGCAGGCCAAGCTTATTTGTCGCTATACTGCAAATTTAAGTAAAGCGAATTTTAATCAAGTACATATGTATGTATATACATATGTATGGATGTATGTCTGTATGCATTTATGTATATATGTATGCATGCATGTTTGTTTTCCAATACCAAACGCAGACCAAGCTTATTTGCCGCTGTGCTACAAATTTTAACTAAAACGAATTTTCTCCAGGTGCTCTCCTCCTCGATTCTCAAGAATTCAAGTAGGGTCTGCAGTTGTTCATGCTTAGCTAGTAGTGTGGTGCTTTTTGTTGTTGTTTTTTTTATGTACACTTATAAGTATGAATATATATATATATATATATATATATATGTACGTTTGTACATGTGTACATATATATGTATGGTTGTATGTACATATGTATGGTTGTATGTATGTATGATTGCATGTATGTATATAAGTATGTACATATGTATGTATGTAGGTACGTGCATATGTATGTATGTATGCATGTTTGCATATATACAAAGAAACTTGCATACATATATATGCCGACATGCACAAACATATATGTATGCAAGCATATATTTATATATGCAAAAATTCATGCTTACATACATGCATGTATATATGTGTATGTATTTGCATATGAATTTATGTATGTACGTATGCATGTATGCATGTTTACACATGTACAAAACAAACATGCATGCATGTATGTACCAACAGGCATTCATATATGTATATGCAAACTTAAAACTTTGCCCAAAAAATCTTTGAATCGCATTTTCCACCGAGGAAGCTTAGATTCTGCTAAAAGTGTGAAACAAGTCTCAAATGATTTTTCATATAGATCTTTGAAAATAAATTTGAACGCGAAACGTCACCACCAAATCTTTGACCCATTTCCACCAAGGAGGAATGCAATTTTTGAGAAGTGTGAAACAATCCTAAAATGATTTTAAACAAAGATCTTTGAAAATGAGTTTGAGGACGATCGGATGGTAAACAAAAAGGTTTCATTCAACAGTTTTTCGCGATTTTTCCACACTTTCGGGTGGTATTTCCTATGACCCCATCTTAACGTGCACCTTCATCACATAAGGTAACTACAGTGAACATTTCAGCTTCCAAGCTCTTACGGTTTGGGCTGTGCGTTGATGACCAATCAGTCAGTCAGGACAAACAGTTTTATATATAGAGATTATCTAAGTATTTGTAACTTGGGAACACCATAATATATAAATAGGCAAGTTAGTAAGTTAAGTTCAATATATATTTATTTCGTAGATTTTAAACAATTTTAACGAAATTAAGAATTTGACTAACCACCCCAGGAATACAATGCCAAAGATAACTTGATTCATTCATTGGCTTCGCTTACGGAAAACTCATATACACTTGATTTAACTGACGTACAATTTAGATGCAGATTTACTCTGAGATGGTCTTTACTGAAGGCAGATGTAGTTGATACAAAATTGTTGCTCTTGTTGCTTTAATTGGCTTAACGACTTTGACCGATACAAAGAAAATAATTAAACTAATAAAGGAATGTGATTATCATGAACAAAACAATTGTATTACGTACATTTTTATACATACATTTTACTTAAACATTATCATATGCAATGCAATTTAAACTTTAGCAACAAAACTTTGGGGATATTATACAGTAAATAAACAAATTTCTTCAACTTTAAATAAACATTTCAATACTAATTGTGGTTAGGTGCAATCAGCGACGACAGCACAAATAATTTTTTTGTTTAATGGATGCATTTTGAAGTTGAAGCACAGATTTTAGTTGGCAGTTACTCTGCTATTCATGTAGAATTGCTGCGCAGAGAGCAACAGGGTCAGCACGTAAATGCACGCCGCAATCCAGCAGTTATAGGCATTCTGAAAAAGAAAAAAAACTAGTTAGAGCAATTAAGAACAATGTATTAATTCCTGATTGTCTCGATTAAATAATAGTCGAAATTGTCGTGACTGCAAAATCCCCAATACCCCTCAGTCAATTTAATATTTTAGTTAATAGCACCATAAAATAAATTCTAATATGAATATGATTATAATATGATTTAATAACTTAATTATCCTAATGTGTGAAGCCTGTACACGAGTATACGTAATTGTTTGTATTGTTTGTATCTATCTCTTATACTTGCTGAGTTATGCTTAAGAACAAAGTCTTAAAATTTTATTCTGTAGCTTTTGTAGTTTCCGAGATCGACGTGTTTATACAGATGGATTGACGGGTAATTCGGCTTAGCTCGTAGTCCTAATCAGGAATATGTAAACTTTATGTGCTCGGAATTGCCTTCCTCCTCCTTTTAATATACTCTTTTCGTCCGTTTCTAGTGGCTACAAGCTATAACAAGAGTGTGCTCCAGTCGTGAGTGCCCAGCTAGATGTTACGCTGATCCCAGCACCGAGCTGCCATTACAAGCATGCTAGCATCTTTCTACACATACAAGCGCAAAAACACACCCACGAACGCTCCAAGCCGCACCTCATCTCTTAACTGTAAACTCTGGGACATTTATATTCGTCGATTTCCTTGAAACGGGATGATCTATAAATCAATAGAAATACACCTGATCGGCGCGAGCAATAGGCGGAGGCAGCTTCCACATGTAGAGTCTCTAGCTCTAATAGTTTCTGAAACCGACGTTTTCATACAGACTAGATACATACATCGACTCGGCTATTGAGGCTGTTTAGAGTCGGAAATATGCACAAAACCAACTCACACTTCTTATCCATTTTAACGAGTTCCGGGTATACAAACATACACGCAATTTATATTCAGCAGCCCACTAATTGCAGATAAGGATATTACACGCTTATTTATCTACACTCATTATCTGCATTCTTCAAGGAAATATATATATATATATATTTTTTTTGTTGGTGTATATGTGAAAAATGATACGCGCATGCTAAGACAGGACTGAAATTGAGAAACCAACCTGATTGTATGCACTATTCGCAGCTGTATAGAACGCATCTAAGCTTTTGTACTCTTCCTCGAGTGGCAAATCCTCAATTAAAGCCACACTGTGTATGTAGAAGAACAATCCCATGAGCACCTAAAATTATAAAACATTTGGGTATTAAAATTACTTACGCATTTGTCAGTTTAGATCTTGTGACTGTCCCGTATGACCCCCACAAAACAAACCAAAATCAGCAGTCACCATACTTACCAACTGCACAATGCCCCAAACGGAGATAATCAATCCGCAGAGGGAGCATTTCGGACCACAAATTTTCATTTTGCTAGCTTCGTTAAACGCTGCTCGACGGGGATGTAAATATGTTCCTTTTAAATTGGAATTCTCGTCGATAGATTTTTTCGCAGAAGCTAGCAAATGTCAGGTGAAAATCATGTGACAGTTTGTGGTGAGTTGAGTGTGACCAAGTGTGGCTTTCTTTAATATGCTGAGGGTTGCTACAGATACTGAAAATACTAACAACACACTTAACAAATTCCGTTTAAAAGTAAACTGAATAGCCTAATAATAAATTTTAAGTAAAATTATTTAAAAAGGACTGTAATGATTAAGGAATCCAATTCGTTATCTTAACTATGCCAGAAAATTAGATTGATTAAATTATTTCACATGTTTCGCATCGTGTAAACTTTAAGCACGTGCAAGTATGTGTGTACAATATACAGACATACACACAAGTAAACATATTGTCAACAACAAAGTGAAAACTAAATAACTGAACATAAATTGCTATTAACAAAAATATCTATGCCAACATCACCTGTTTACCACGAAAAGCAAACGAGGCAACTATGTGCCTTACACGCACTCAACAATCTTTTCCAAGGTGATCAATCCTACACTAAGGATGAATTGGACGATATTTGCAGCAATCTGAGCCCAAATGTTTGGATAAATCCACACCGTTCCGTGCTGGGACTTGGAAACTACGATATTAATGTCATTATGACCGCGTTGCAGAGGCGAAACTGCGAAGCAATTTGGTTTGATAAGAGAAAGTGAGTACTAGTCCAGCGACCGACGACTGACCAACATCTCTAATTTCTTATACCAAGCAGAGACCCCTCCATTATTGATTTGGATTCAATTGTTGGCTTTATACTGAACATTCCATCTGATTATAAGTTCGGAATCATAACACTGCCTTTGCGGAGACGCCATTGGATAGCCGTGCGTCGCATCGATGACCTTTACTACAACTTGGACTCCAAACTGCAACAACCGGAACTTCTTGGAAACGAGGCGGACATGCTTCAGTTTCTGCGGGAGCAACTTTCCGAGGAGGGACAACAGCGTGAGCTGTTTCTGGTACTTGAACGGAAAAGTGACGAGGAAAATGCTCAGCGTTGGATAAAACAGTCTTCTGTTAATGCCGTTTGACCAGGACAAGGACAATATTTATATTCTAGTCAATATTTGCCCAACGCTGAAATTCGTTTTACGCCTGTTACTCAAATTTTCAATATGCGTAGTATGAAGTAAAAAAAATGGAGTAATTGTGGCTCAATTTAAATGTAAATAGCATCGGTTAAAATTTGAATTTAAAGAGCTGGCCTTAAGTCAATTTGTATCGAAATTTTAATCTAAGTACAGGTTTAATTAGTCGTAAAACTTTTTGTAATTAAAATTAATGGTTTAACCGCAAGATCAAATTGTAATATGGTGAATGTATAATGATAATTGTTTGGTTGAAGCAATAGCGCTTTAATTTGATCCCTCAAACGAGACTTGTTCATTTTAATAAGTCTAAAGGCAATAAATTTGTTGTACTGCGGGTAGATTAAAATACCTTACGGATGTGTTTTATTTATTTCAACTGTATGATCAACAGACTAGACTCAACCCAAGCTAGGAATCCATTAGTCCACATTCAAAATTTAAGTATTTAAAATCCTGAAGACAAATGTGAACCCATAGTTTATCCATATATAACGATACACATTTCTATATTGTATATTTTGCTATTTATAATGATTTGAGTCTGTGTAAAATTATTTTATTTAAACAAATACATACATGCATGCAGGTAAATATAAAAATAAAAGATATATGAAAGTTTGTATAAAATGTGGAATGATAAAAGTTCGTTTTATATTCGAGGCTAATTCGGACTTAATCTAAAGACGACAATTGGACGGATATGTTATAATATTCGCTCGAAGACACGGCTAAGGCCTCATTTATGGTTGTGTACGTCGATGACCACACTCTCATTTCCCGCGGATCAGCTTATATGTCCGTTTGGATGCTACCCTGGGGAGGAGCTGTTGGCAAGCGTCCTGGCTGTGGGCGGCGCGGGCGACTAGGCTCAGGAGCGAAATATGTGGGTTGTGCTGGCACCGAGGACGACGCGGCTGCAGCCTGGCTTTGGTAATAATCATCTCCGTACTCGCTCACTTCGCGGTTGCTGATTTCGTTAAGTCGTTTGTAGCGTTCTCGGCGTGCTTCTACCATGTAGAGAATGCCTGCAGGCAACAGCATTACAGCGCCGACCACGGCAAGGGCAAAGGACCAGCCCATATCGTTGTTTTGCCAACCGGGCATCCAGTCGCGGGAATCACCCTTGGCCCCGAAAATTACCACTGCGATGAAGCCGAAAAGGGATCCAAGCACTTGGCAGGTACCAATCGTAAGCAGCAGCACCACATAGCGGTCGTCATCGCGGGACGTACGCAGAAACGACAACGTCAGGGGCAGGGCCAGCAGGCACATCACAAAGCACAGCGTTGCAAAGAGCTGAACGGCTATATAGAAGCCTGGCAGGAGAAAGTCGTGTATTATGTAGTACTCCTCCTCGAAGACCCACATGCAGCCGGTGAACCTGGTGTCGTAGAACCGATGAATGTCCTGGAAATGATTAAAGCACACCTCCCACAGACCCAAGTTCGTGAAGCGTGGATTTTGAAGACGCCCATCAGTGACCAGCCAGTAGGGCGTAGCAAACGCGATAACAAAAAGCAGAAACGAGACCGCCGATATGCCGAGGGCTACTTGTGTGCTGCGATTAGACGCGCCCATGGCTTAAGTTTTATTTTAATTCAGACTCGAAACAAACAAACAAAAACTATGGAATAAATAAGGGAGAACAAACTAATACACAAATATTGAGTCAGAAAACAAAAAACACGCCCCGCCAGTGTGACCAAATCGTTAATTATAATTTATTTAGATGCGGCGTTGCCAGAAATTTTCAAAAAACTGTATACGTACGTGACAACTCTGGACTTGACAGTCTTGTTTTGTGGCATAAAAACTTGTTTGCGAAAGCAGCCGAAGAAAAAATGTGTGTTTCTGGTGTATAATGCTGGTTGGATTGCCGAAAAATATTTAAATACATTAATCCGGTGTGTGTTTGCTGTCTTATCTTTATCGAAAACGCCGTGGTTCATTGCGGGTACGTCGTGTTGCTTTCACAGTGACGCCGACGGTAACAATATGGCTTCCGAAATCGCGGTGGTAAACATTGGAAACTTTGAAAAAATTCAGAACTTTTTAAATGACACCGCTTATAAGGAAATTCTTGAGAACAGCGAGAACTTTAACACGCGGCTCTGCATTGAGCGCCGGCTGCGAATGCCATTCCTCGACCCCCAGACAGGCGTCGCACAGACGCACTGCGCGCTCTTTATGAAACGAAAGCAGCGAATGCCCGGCTTCCGACATGGTCAAATATACACGTATCCTTCTGCCCGCTGGCGCAAACCAAAACGACAATATCTACTTAATCCACATCACAGCTACCGCGCCTACCAATACCGGGAGCATCATCTCGCTCACCAGCATCAGCACCATCACGTACCGACCTCTGGTCCTGGAACGGTTAGCGCACGTGATCATCATCAGGCCGAAAGTGCAGGTAAAACACAAGTGTATCAACATATATTTACACATGCATAAATGCATCAAATTAAAGGCAAGCATATGCACATACATACAACTAAACAAAACTCGTAGTAAAATCAATAAATCTCTTACAATTGCTTATGCTTTGTTCAGCCCCAGTCTCAGTGTCATCAGTCCAACCACCTCTGCATCGTGGTATTAAATTCGTAGACCCGCCAAATCAACACAGATTTAAAAGTGAATTCGAATCGGGGTTTTAATATTTAATAAAAGTCTAAATATTTTACGCAATTAAAAAAGGTTTAAAATAGTGTTGGTACATCAAATATGACCAAAATTATACACATTTTGCTTTAATGTATATTAAAATTATAAATATCCATTAAAACTATTGATGATTAATTTTTATCTGGTATCAATATTCAGAAATTCATTCAGCCTGGCCCACTGTTCAATTAAAACAACAATATATATAAGTATGTAAGCTCAGCTAAACATGTGCGGCTTTATGAAGCTGCATATTCTATATTTGTGTGTGTGTGTGTGTGTGTCTGTTTGTGCGTATGTGTTAGTGCTTGAGTTTGCACAGAGCGTAGCCACCCCATAGAAAATGCCACTAACATATCTATGTACATAGCGTATTGGGGGCTGATTTATATTTTATATTTGTATGTATGTGTATTCGCAAGCAGTCCTATGTGTCTTGTGCATTTGTTAAATATACGTTTTGTTTGTGTTTATTTTAGCTATCGTGGCCACAGATGGCAATTCAATGGGCGCTTCGGGGGACAATGACAGCAAGGATTCTCATGCTAATGCCGAGAAGGATTGGTTCCATGAGGACATGGACTCGTCGCATTATCATCATGCCGATGACTACGAGGACGACTTCGACTCCGACAATGACTTCGACGAGTCTTACAGTAGTAGAGGAAAACGCAAGCGCGGCTCACGACCCCGACGTTCAAATGCAAATGTGGATGGTACTCCGAAACGGGGACGCAAAGGTGGCGGTAAGAGACACGTGTGGTCTGATTATTTGCCATTGCAAATTTAAAAGCTCACTTGTTTACCACTATTGCATCGCAGGCAATCGTCGTCGAAATGCACCTGAAGGCGAGACTCCGGATCGAAGAAGGCGTGGCGCTGGCAATAATGCAAACACTTCCGCTGCAGCTGCAGCAGCTGCCGCGGCTGTTGCACACGCCGCTAGCACCGCGGCCGCAGCAGCAGCTACGGGCCTTTACGCATCGCACTCTAACTCAGCATCACCAATTCCCATTATCGATGAAACCTCACAATCGGCTCTGGTCATGACGGCGACTCTTGCTACATCGTACGATAAGTCTTCACTGAATGATGCTGGTGCTTCAAATGATTCAATCCCTTTGGCCACAATGGCTAGCATGGGCATGTCCACAACACCAACTGCTAATCCAACTGTATTCACAACTGTAACTGCGCCGCCAGCTAATCCATTGGCTAGTCCCAAAAAGAACAAGTTAAGGGCGGAGCGTGAAGTTGCACAGCCTTCCCCGTACTGCGACTTCTGTTTGGGCGATCAGCGTGAAAACAAGAAAACCAATATGCCCGAAGAGCTAGTGTCTTGCTCCGACTGCGGCCGCTCTGGCCATCCATCGTGTCTACAGTTTACGCCCAACATGATAATATCGGTTAAGCGCTACCGTTGGCAGTGCATCGAATGTAAATATTGTTCTATTTGTGGCACCTCCGACAACGACGACCAGCTGCTTTTCTGCGACGACTGTGATCGCGGTTACCATATGTATTGTTTGTCGCCGCCATTGGTAACACCGCCCGAGGGCTCCTGGAGCTGTAAACTCTGTATGGAGGAGTTTCACAAGCACAAGTAAAATTAAATTTCTAATTTAAGGCGTCGGTACAGATGTAAATTTAAAAATTTAATTTGTGTTTCCACTTACATGCAGCTTTTGAAATTACGTATCTCTAATTTAATTTTCATTTTAAGTATGCTTTAGTAAGGTTTTAATCTTATGTAACTATTTAATTTAATTTTGTATTCGTAACTACGCTTATATGGACCGCCCCAAGTATTCTAAGTATTCCCAGCCTTCCACGCAAAATGAATGTAACATTTTCATCATACAAGGTCGTTAAGCATTTAAATCCTTATCGTATCATTTATTTACACTATTTTATGTAAATTTTACGAAATAATCTACGAAATTATAAATACCCAAATACCAATAAATACTGCATGCCTTTTGCATATTTCACTGGGTGTTTCTCAATGCAACCGATATTAATTAGTTTATCTTCATAATTTAATATAAGTTAATTAAATGCTGCGTACTTATTAAGTCATGAATATATAAAAACTACATAAACCATATTACCTTTCGACACAATAGTTTTTTAAATATGCCAGACAAAAAAAACACCATATTCTGTATCCACAAAATTGAACAGGAAAGGTCAAATAAAATTGTGCAATTGATATGACGAAAAATTTAAAACTCCTTTTCAAAAACCAAAAATTCCTATTGGCTATTATTTGGCATTAAAATCGGAAGCCGCCAAATACCAGGAGGAATCCAGAAAGGATAGAAATGATGTGTATGCTTAAAATCTATGGGACATGCTTAAGCAAAGAATTCTAGCCGAACACAGCTATCTAAGTAGATAATCAATTAATAATAATTGTGCACAATTTTTTGATCTGGTATATAATAAAAGGTAAAGTAGCATTTTTTTTCAGCTTTCAAGCTTGGTATACTTAGATCGTTACCCTCAGATAAACGATGCCCTGGTACCATGGTAAAAGTTCCAAGGACCTTTGATTGTGAGCATTGCATGATGTCTATTTAGCTGCTGCTTGGGTTACCCCATAACCCTGAGGTGTGTGCCCTGACTGGGTTTTACAAAGGATCACCCCGGCTGTGATCCAGTCTAGACATCGAGCGGATTGCAAGTTGTGCAATGGATTGTAGAGGTAACGTAGAAATTACGCATATGAAAGCACATGTTCTTTCTAAGAGATATATGAAATTTATACCATCAGGCTGCTTAGCCCGGCAGGACAAAACATACACGACATTCTTTATACCGAAATTGTTATGAATTTCGATTAAGAATTCATGAAAATTTCATATTGAGCGAACGATAAACATAAAAGTTATATCATAAACTAGTATCGTGTGTGCTGACCAGAGAAAGCAGCCCCTGTTTGCGGCTTGTAGAGGGTATCCGATTGCTAGATGAGACGGATATATCTCTATATATAAAACTGTTTGTCCTGACTGACTGACTGACTGACTGACTGACTGACTGACTGACTGACTGATTGGTGATCAACGTACAGCCCAAACCGTAAGAGCTAGGAAGCTGAAATTTTCACTGTAGCTACCTTATGTGATGTAGGTGCACGTTAAGACGGGGTTTCGGGAAATTCCACCCGCAAGTGTGGAAAAATCGCGAAAAACGATTGTATATAACTTTTTTGTTTACCATCGGATTGGCCTCAAACTTATTTTCAAAGATCTTTGTTCAAATTCATTTGAGGGGTGTTTCACACTTTTAGGAAAATCCATTCCTCCTTGGTGGAAATGGAGGTCAAAGATTTGGTGGGTGACGTTTCGCGCTCAAATTCATTTCCAGTGATCTATATGAAAAATCATTTGAGACGTGTTTCTCACTTTTCGCAGAATTCAAACTTCTTCGGGGGGAATGCGATTTAAAGATTTTTTGTGCGAAGTTTTAAGTTGTGTCCGATTTGCTTCAAACTTATTTTCAAAGCTCTCAATAAGAACTTAATGAATACGTATTTCGACGATTTGGAAAATTCCACCCGCAACAGTTGTATATTGGCGAAAAACGGTTGTATGAAAATTTTTTGTTTACCATCCGATCGGCCCCAAACTCATTTTCAAAGATCTATATTCAAATTCATTTGAGGGGTGTTTCACACTTTTTGAAAAATCCATCCCTCCTTGGTGCAAGATTTGGTTATTTGGTTATTCAAATTTATTTCCAAAGTTCTATAAGAAAAATCATTTAGAGACTCCTTCTGTGGAAAATGCATTTTTAACATTTTTATGGTGCATTTTAAGAGTTTTCCGATTTGCATAAAAGTTGTTTGATTCCCGTCCGATCAGTTTCAAAATCATTTTCAAAGCTTTTTTGATTTTATAACATACGTGCCACGGGCAAGGCCGGGTTATACCCGCTAGTATCATATATATTTCTGAAACAACCGGTCAAAAAAAAATCATTTCATAGCTATTGTACACAGTGCAACAGAACTTGACACATAATAATAAGTAATGATAAATAAATATTTTATGAATTCAATTAAAGTAGATGATTTCCAGGTTCTCGAATATAAGCTAGCTTGCAGTCACGGTTAATGAATATTTTAATTGAAACAATTTTATATAGAATTCCGCTGTTGATAAGAAAGCAAAGTTTTTAAGCGAGAGCTCGGCTTGCGAAGATAATTCTAATTTTAGCTATATATATCTCTAAACTTGGTTATATCATATGGCTATTATGTATCAAATGGCCTATGTATTTAAAACATAATATTTCAGCTACATATATTGCTTTCTTAGCTTGAATGAAGTATTGTCTTAGCTGAAAGCTTAATTTGACAGTGGCATTTGTTAGGTTGATTCTTTGTAGCTATATTCAATAAAAAAACTCATAATAATTTTAGAATTAATAATTTGTTTCTTTGTTTTAAATTACTTACCCACATTTAACGCTTGTTGGAGTAAAGGTCTGCAAATCTGGGAAAAGCCAGTCGAAGTGCCAATTGACTCAGTTGAATGTACCCAAATAGGTTGGCACAAAAAGATTTTGATTTGAATTCTCACAGTGGCCTGTTAATTACTGGGGGCAACCAAATAGGTTGCATCCACAAGACTTCCGTCAGTTGCACTTAGTCTGCCGATATGAGCCGCGCGGTGTGGTACATTTCTCTGTTGGGTCTGTGCCTGGTATTGCCTGTACGGTTGGGAGAACAGCGAACCAGGTCGAGACGCTTTCTCATTTTTCCGCGTCAAGCTCCGACCAGACATCAGGTAAATGAAATCCTTTTCGTAGTCTGGCGTAAAACGTTTAAAGGAGCCTTATTGATTTCCAGTTCATTGCCGGCATTGGCATTCCGGCTGATCTGACCTATGAATCACTTACCGTCGGTCACGTTCTGAAAGCGGAGTTTTTTCTGCCATATAATGCTTCCGTGTACCGACAAAACCCATTTCTTCCGGAATACAAACATAAAACAGTTTCCCTAAACGGAGGGAACGACGGGACTGAGATACGTCAATTGCAAATGAATCCCAGCCAGTTGCGCTGGCAAATTTACGCGTACATTGAGCACATGTTAAACGGGTGAGCGAGTTAGTTGATTCTTAGTTTATTTGATGACAATTTATCCATATGGAATATGGGAATCGCAGCCAGGGATACAACGGCCACGAATGCATGCTGCAAGCTATTTGCGAGGCAAATGCAATAAAGTTCTCGAAACACTTTAGTGTCGTCCAGGAGCTACTGCATCTGGTGCTTGGGTAAGTTTATGACAGATATACAGGCTCCCAAAAATATTATTCATTTAATATATTGACAGCCCCTCCACGACGCTAAATGGCGACGCTGCGGAGGCCTACGACTACATACTGGCTGAAAAGATGAGCTCGAAATCAAACAGTTGCGACATTTATGACTGCAGCATAAAGCTACTCGATTGGATTTCGAGAGTAATGCATTCGCAGTAACAGCTTATTATTAAGATAGTATATTCTTTTTTAAATTAATGGCCTGGTTCAACCTTTATAGGTGTGTTTAAATGTTTATAAACTTATTACTGAGAGGACTTTAAACTCTCTCTCTCGCTCTCTAATATGTTCTCTGTTTTTGTTCTAATCACAATGCCAGCCAAAAATATGTAATTTTTTGGTTTTCTATTTATTTGCGGTCTTTTGACAATGCTCAATTTTTAATTAAATTTACAACTGGTATTTTTCAGAAGCAAACCTGAATTTTTGATCACTGCTCGAGAATTATTTTGAATTTATAATTACTTATCTGCACGTCAAATTTATGATATTTCTTATGAGGTTCAGACTCTTGTGCTCTGTCGACCCGACATGCAATAATAATTTTATATTTATATATGCTTTTACGTATATGTACAAAATAAAACCTCAATTGATTAAGTACACGATTTTATTTAATTATCTTATCAGATAAACACATTAAGAAGTTTGAGTAAACTTCTATGTTCGAATATTTTATTTCTTTTATTTTTCAATAATGTTTTTGATTGCAAAATAAGTTTTTTGAAATAACTATGCAGACAATCTGCTCATTTGATTGGTACAAATATCTCGTTCTTTGTTGTTATTTGATTATATTAAAAAAAACCCTACATTGACCTTGATTAAAAAACTAACTAAAACCAAATTATCATAGTTCAAAAACATCACAGATGCGAGTTTGTCAACATTCCAAAAAAAAAATTTAAGGTTTGACAGGAAACAGAAAAAATAACGATTGGATAACTTCGCAGAGCCGAATATTAAATGCTCTAGGTTTGATGAGTTTTTATATTTCCGATCAATATATAATAATTATACAAGTACAATGTAATTTTTAACAGCATTTTGTTTATGTTCTGTAAATATATTGAAAGTTAAGTTTTTCGATATGGCCGAATTCGACAATTGTAACAAAAACTGAATGACTATATCAATTCGGTTGCGGATCCATTATGATCCGGAAACTGATCAAAAGAATATATACATTATGTGGTAAGTAAAGCCTCTTTTTCTATGCGTTACATAGTTCGTGCCATAATTATATTACCCTCTGTAAGGGCAAACAAAAATATTTAAATCTATTAAAAGGAAATCTCAGTTTGAAGCCTTAAATTTTTATATATTTTATACTTTTGGACTTATGGATTAAATTATTACGTATTTTGGAATTCCCCTTTTTGTGTGGGTATATTTCAGGCTGCATTTTAAGCCATCATGTTTTATTTATTATTCCTTTTTATTTGCAGCTCGCGATTACCACAATGCTTAGACGTATCAAATGCTCAAATGCAACACCGCAGGCATTGGGAAGGGCGCTGGTCAACTCATCTGGCAGGCGGAATATTAAGTCCGTAACAGTTGAGGATGATCTTCACAAGGTTGAGCCCGTGCTTAAAATGCCACAAGTAATGGCGGATCGTGGCTACAAATATAAAGAGGGCATGGTCTATCACGGGTTCCAGTGCGAGCGGATCGAGCATAACTCGGACTTTGGACTTGTATCCTGCAGCCTGCGACACATTGGCACAGGGACGGAGTTTTGGTATATCGATCGCAACGATACAAATAATGTATTCTCAATTAACTTTCGCACTCCGCCCGTCGACTCGACGGGTGTGGCCCATGTATTGGAGCACCTCGCTCTATGCGGATCAAAGACATTTCCGGTTCGCGATCCCTTCTTCAAAATGCTAAATCGATCGGTTGCCACAAATATGAATGCTCTGACTGGAGCAGACCTAACTGTTTATATATTCTCTTCCAGGAATGAGGTCGACTTCCGGAATATACAGCGTATTTATTTAGATTCTGTTTTTAGGCCAAATCTACTCTATTTGGACTTTCTGCAGGAAGGCTGGCGACTTGAACACAAGGACTTGCATAATCGAAAGTCGGAGATTATGATTAAAGGAATCGTTTATAACGAAATGAAGGGCACCTTTTCGGAGAACTCGCGAGTATTCCGAAAAAGCCTTATGGGCAACCTATTGCCAAAGCTCGCATACAATAATGTGGCCGGCGGAGATCCTCTAGAGATTCCCAATTTAACGCACGCGGCGCTGATCGACTTCCACCGCAAATACTATCATCCGAGCAATGCGCGGATTTACTGCTACGGCTCCTTCGATCTGATGAAGACACTTTCATTTGTCAATAAGGAATACCTTAGGCACAAAGATTTCAGGGACACCTACTACAGCCGCATTCCACTTCATCCGCGCTGGTCCCAGCCGCGCAATATTCACATTCCCTGTCGAATGAACAACATGGGCGCTTCGATGGACAGACAAAACCAAATTGGCGTCGCGCTCCTAATGTGCGATAGAACGGATGTACAGGAATGCTTCGAACTGAATGTCTTAACCGAGCTATTGATTCGTGGTCCAAACGCGGCTTTTTGCAAGGGTCTGATAGAGCCAAATTTCTCGGGTGGATTCAATAAGAACACGGGCTATTATTTTACAAGCAGAGATACGTATTTTGCTGTGGGCCTGCAAGACCTAAGGGCTGAAGACTTCGCCAAATTCAAGGAACTATTCCACCAAACTATCCACAAGACAATCGAAGAAGGCTTTGAGCCTCAGCACATAGAAAGCGTTCTGCACAAACTGGAACTCTCGGTGAAGCATCAGAGCGCCGACGTTGGCAGCGTCCTGCTCTATAACTCGATGACACTCTGGAATCATGGTGGGGATGTTGTCGCCAATCTGCGAGTTTCCGAAATGATTGGCAAATTGCGAAACAGCTTGAAAGAGAATAAGAACTATTTTCAACAAAAAGTCGAAAAGTATTTCCTAAACAATCCACACAAGCTCACGGTGACAATGTCTCCTGATGAACTGTACGATGAGAATTTGAAGAGTGCCGAAAAGAAGTTAATCGCACAAAAAGTAATGGACCTCAACGCAGATAGCTTGGAGGCGGTCTTTCAGAATGGCATCAAATTGGAAGCGACCCAAAAAGCCAAGGAAAATACGGATGTCCTGCCGTGTCTGTCGCTTAAGGACGTCCAGGAACCCCTCAAGTATCCACAAGTAACGGAGGACCTTATTCAAGGTGTTCCCACGCAGTTGTGCAAGGTTCCCACCAACGAAATAACCTACCTTAATTGCCTCTTCAATATTACGGGATTGAGTCGAGAAGACGCTGTGCTCGTGCCATTATTCTGCAACATAATCAAAAATATTGGCACCCTCAAACACAACTTCCGTGAGTTCGACAAATTGGTTCTTTCGAAAAGTGCCGGAATTGACTTCAAAGTGAAGGTCGTTGAAAATGTGAAGGATGCCAAGTCTTATCGTACGGGCCTGTTGATGACGACGCATGCTCTGGACAAGAACGTTCCCGATATGTTTGCACTGTGCGAGGAGTTGCTGCTTAACTTTAGACTAGAAGATACAGATCGCCTCAAGATGCTTATAGAAAGCTACGTTTCCAAATTATCACTCGGAATTGCATTCTCCGGGCACTTGTACGCGATGTTAGGCTCCGCTGCATTGGTCAGCGATGCTGCCAAGCTGAAATCTCTATTATCGGGTGTGGATCACATAGACTTCATGAAGAAGTATGTGCAACAGAATAGTATGGAGGATATTCGCGACAAATTAAGGAATATTGGCTCTAAAGTGTTTAGCAAAAGCAACATGCGTGTTGCCATTAATAGCTCAGAGGCCTTTCAACCAACAGCCTTGGAACACTACGAAACCTTCCTCAAAAACTTGCCTACGCTGGAAAATACGAGTGCCAAGAGCGAACTGCATTTGCTAAAGCCGAGTTTTAAGCATTATGTTATGAATATTCCTGTGAACTACTGCGCGAAAACTTTCTTCGCAGTGCCATATTTGCATGAGGATCATCCGGTCTTACGCGTCCTGGCGAAACTCGTATCGGCCAAGTATCTGATGCCTGTGGTGCGGGAGCAGAACGGAGCTTATGGCACGGGCGCAAGGATCGGCTATGACGGTCTCTTCAATTTCTACAGCTATCGTGATCCGCACGCCACGAAAACCCTGGATGTGTTCGACAAAACCTACGACTGGTTATTAGCCATAAATGAGAAGCTGAATCATCAAATGTTATTCGAGGCAAAGCTGGGCGTGCTGCAGTTGGTGGACTGGCCAACAGCTCCTGGTGAAATCGGCTTGGATTACTTTGTTTTAGGCGTATCGCATGAGGAATATTGCAAATATCGCTCTCGCGTTTTGTCTGTGACAGTCGAAGATATTCGTACTATAATTGAGAGGTATTTTAAAGAGGAACCAACGCATTTTGGAAAATTCATTTTGGGACCTAGAAAGGAAAAATTGGAGGGGAATCGAAGACTATGTAAATATACATTAAATGTAACTAAACTTTGTTTATGTAATAAATTAAATAAATAGTACGTCTAAGCATACAATGCTCTACACCCTCTACATCCACCCGTAAATGTGGCAAATCGGGAAACTTATGAATCTTTTTTGCTTACCATTCGATCGGGTCGAGGCTCATTGTCGAAGATCTTCGATAAAATTCATTCAATAGGGGTCAAAGATTTGGTGTCTGAAGTTTCTGGCTTAAACTGATACCCAAGGATATTTTAAATATACGGGAAATAATAAATTTTTAACCATTTCCATTTTCAAAAATACATCCCATAAAAAATTCTATAGTCAATTCTATTGTCAGTGCATTACGAAATAATTAAATCAGCTGGTCGCATACTACTATTGTTGGCATCTGTACGAAAAATGCTTGCGGCTAATCAACCATATATATATAATTATTATTATTATTCTAACTGCTAATACTGTAAATTAATTTTACTGTGATAATTTTTAGTTCTAAGAATTTAAATTTATAGCAAGCGTTACGAATGCGATAATGCATTAAATAAACTGAATCGATATTTTAGTACAGACGAGCTTAGATTTGAAATAAAATGTAACAATCGATATATCGATAAGAATCAACAATGT